GGTGCCTCTCACTCCCTCCCCCTCCTCCGGTCCCTCTTCCGCTAACTCTCCTCCACCCACTAATAAAAAAAACCACTGCCCACACGCTAATTGCGGCGAACAAAAACGCACGAATGGAACGCCAGCATCGAGGAGGGACCACCAGCAGCCATGGGAGCCGGCCACTGCTGCCACATGCAACATGCCACTCACCTGAGAGGAGATCCAGAGCTGCAGCTCTTGCTCCGCTTTCGGGTTTGGGTAGACAAAAAAAAAAAAAAAACGCCAAACAAAACAAAACAAAAACAGAACCAAAGTAAAGTAAAGTAAAAGAAAATTCCCATAAACAAATAAACACTTGACTTGATTGTGGACGCGACTTGCATTTGAGACTGGACTGAAAAACTGCTGGCCCGGCCAAAAGCCCGGTTGCTCAGGGTACGGATACGGATACGGAGTGGTATGTGGCATGTGGCATGTGGCATTGTTATGGCTGGTGGCCTCAGTTAGCTCCCAACTGCAACTGCAACTCAAATTAAGCAAAATTTATGCGCCTTCTGGTGTCGAAGCTGTTCGAGAGTCTGTGTCCTTTCGCTTATGGGTAATTTGTTGGCCCAAAAACGGCTCTCTTGGAAGATCTGTAGGATCCGTGGTAAGAATTGGAGCCCCCAGGGCAGGAAGGCAAGAGGAAACCCACGCCACATCATTCATATGCGGCAAACCGTCACCAGGCGAAAAGAAAAAACCACAGTGCAACTGCAACTTGCAACTGCAACAAACAGTAACTTAAACTGCAGCAGCAGCACCAACAGCAGGGACCACCACATAGCAATTATGGATCTCTGGATATCTGCCTCGCCTCGCCTCGCCTCGTCTCGCCTCTTCTCTTGTGTGGCAAGTGGAGGCGACACGAAGAGCAGCTCTGTGGCTGCTGCTGCTGTTCCTGCTGCAATAATTTCCATCGCCTGCCGTCGCCACAAATCTGCCAACATAATTTTGTTATTTCACTGCCACTTTGTTTGACGTGCAAATGTTTGGCTTTGGCTTTGGCTTTGGCCTTCAGTGCAGGCTGCAGTGTTGGGGGGCCTCCCGTCTCCCTGCCGTTTGGGGGCACCTCCGTTCGTGGCACATCCTGGTTTAGTTCGGTTCGGCTAGATGATTTTTCAATTTGTGCTTAGCCTAAGACAATCAGGCAACAGCAACAGCAGCGGCAGCGGCAGCGGCAGCAGCAAACCAAAGCAAAGCACAAAAAAGGGGCAACCGCAGCCACACCAAACCACGGGACAAGTATTGCAGCGCTCGTTGTTGGCAGTGCCAATGCTGCCACTGCCACTGCTGCTGCCACTGCAACTGCTGCTGTGGTCATAAGTAACTTTAAATTATGATGAAAGTAATTTTCTGCTTCAGTAGCGAACGCCGCGCCAACTTATAGTCAGCGTCAGGGTCTCGGACTTGATTTACACCCCACACACACACATAGAGAGAGAGAGAGAGAGAGAGAGAGACGGGGTGGCAGTGGCAGTGGCAGGATGGAGACGCAACAATAGTCAAGTGCAAATTAAGTAATTGCCAGCAGGGGCAAAACACATCTACTGCCAGACTCCGTCTCCGACTACCGACTCCCGACTCCCGACTCCCGACTTGGACTCCCAGTCGTAGAAGCCAGTAGCTGCTACCGTTGTCATTAGGGACGGGACAGGCGTGCCACAAAGCGGAGTTCATGTCTCTTGTCGGGCAATTGTACTCTACTCCCATGTCCATGCCAAAGCATCGAATCCCCGGCTTTGGTTCATAAATCTTTTTCCACCAACACCAACATCAAACCCCAAGAGAGAGGGACAGCGCGTGAAAATAGAAACAATTTCGAAGAATTGGCAATAAGAGTGGGGATACCAAATACTACAACAGTATCTCTCATTGAATAATGAATGAATTTTCAGTTAAAAAAATACTGCACAAAATACTAAAAATCATGTACAAAATCTATTATCATTATCTCTTGAATACTAATAAAAAATACCAAAAGATACCGAAAATACCAACTAAATAATACCAAAATACTTAAAATCATGGATTATCTCTGGAATAAACCAATCCATTAATACCAAAATTGCTATAAAAATACCAAAATAATAAAAAAATGATGTATTATCATTATTTAGAAACAAAATATTAGAAGAGGCAAAACTACCAAAAAATACTAAATAATTATAAATACAAAAAAATACTTTAAAAACGAATATTATTGATCACAATACGATTTTCAGATGGGAAACAATTGAATGGATGTTTTAAGGCCATATCCAACCTATTTATTCGATATCCATATATATTCGATACCTGATACGATATACATGGTCAGGATTAGGATATTAGCTAATTAAAATGCTGGGAAAACGCTCATTAAACAGGGATATTCCGTACGGCGTACCATGAATATGGCATTTGCAAATGATATGCCGCCGTTCGCCGTTCGCCGTTCGGCGTTCCCCCTCACATCTTGGGACATTGTTAACCATTTTTGGGGCGATAAGCGGCCGGCAATTGGCGATGCATTTACACAAATTTACATAATAATAACGACGAATAACCACAAGCGAATAATCTATCCACAATAATCTCCAAAAAACGAACCTGAAGCCAAAGCCAAAGCCAAAGCCAAAACGGAAATGCAAGAAACTAAAGACAAATTACTCACGCAGGCTCCGTGTGCCTCCAATTGCTGTACCGCACCGAGCCGTGCCACAAAAGTCTCCACCCCCGCAGGGCAATTAAGCATTCGGCACAAAAACCCCACAGAGAAATATATGTATACATAAAGGAAATCTTAAATCTTTGTATGGCCGTTGTAATAGACCTCCGAACATATTTGTACAATTAACAGATTTTCATATTTTTTTTTGCTTTGGCTTTGTTTTCTCCACACCCGATATGGGGATATGGATACCAAAACGAAGTCTGGCTGGGGGGGGCGGAGGGGGGTGGGCACTTCAATGGAAATTAAGATCAGGCACAGAGCCATAGCCATAGCCATGGCCAAAACGAAACATTTTCTATGGACACTGGGACATTTCAATTGCCTGGCGGGAAAAAAAAGGAAGGCAAATATTTGGACCAACAGCTGCTGGGCAGGAATACGGGGCTTACAAACAACAACAAAATAAAGGCTAAAACTCTCGCTGGCTGCTGGATTGCTGGACGGTTGCCTCCATGGATTCGTTCGTTTATTGCTGGCTAAAACAATTTAAAAGCAATTTGAGTCACGTTTGGGAGTTGGACTTGCCGGCAGGCCACGCAGGGGATCGCTCGGTCTCGGACTCGGATTCGGATTCGGGTTAGGATTCGGGTGAGCGGGTGAGCGGGTGAATGGGCATTCATTGAATTTGCATTTTTGTTGGTTGGTCAAAAACCAAGTCTGGAAGTCACACAAAAAGCCACTGCTGCCTGCCTGCGATGCCTGTGAACTGAAGTTTCTTCTGGTTCTGTGGGCTGTGGGCTGTGGGCTGCACTTGACAAAACTTCACACATATTCGTATCTCTGGGATTGTGATCTGAATCGGTATCGGTAGCTGAATCGGACTTTGTGCTATACAAACAAATACTTCCCTAATGGTACGCAATTTGTTCCAATTGTTTGGTATCTTGAGCATTTTGGTATTATTTTTAGTATTTTCTTGGTAAAGTTTAGAATTGTTTTATGTGCGGATGCTTTAGCTTACCGCTTTCTTCCTTTTATCATAGACTATATAATAATTATCTGTAGGATCCAATACAGATCTCCAATATTCGGTATCGCATCTAGTATCGTGATGTTCCCATCCACTTGTATATGGTTTGTGTCTTATACATATATGGCATTCTGTTGTCATATTTCACATGGTCTCAAATAAATAACAAAGCTATCTCCTTGATACCATCTCTACTGCTGCTATAAAGAAACTTTGCTAAGGTCTCATTACTCGTTACTCGTTACTCGTTACTCTATTCAGCTATTAGTTATATTACTATTTACTGCAACTATTCCATATATACCCCCCTATTACCTCGAATCCCCTCTGTCTATATCGTTGCGGATTTTCCATCATATTTTGTGTCCCTTGTCCTTTCGCTTAGCTTAAATTTGTTTAACGAATCCACGTCATTCGCATCACCGAGCGGAAGCTCCCTAAAAGAGGAAGCCGTCGAGTACTATTCCCTGTGTTTCTCCATTCTTTGGAAAGCAAGTTCCTTAATTAATAGTAAAATTTCTCGCTGTGTAGGGGGGGTATGTTTTGTGTGTGTTTTCTGTCAATTCTTTTGGTGTCAGATTTCAATTTTGTTTCGTTCATTTTCAATGCGTATCGTTTGGCTTTGAGGCACAACCACAGCGGCAGTGGCAACAACATCAAAATAGGTATTTGGCGGCATTTTTACAAAAGCCACCGCCATCGCCGTTTCCACTGCCACTGCTGCAAGCGGCAAGCGGCAAGCTGAAGCTCTGTTGCAAGTTTATTAATTCAGCAACAACTTTGCAACTGTTTTGAGTCAGCATCAGCATCAAGCATCGGCGGCGACGGCGGCGGCGGCAGCGGCGGCAACAACAGCAAATTGTCATCCCCCGCGGCTTGTTTTTCCCATGTGAAATTTACATTTTCATATGCTGCCTCTGCCTCTGCTGCTGTTGCACGTTGCAGCTTGGGTCTCCACACCTTTTGGCGGCTGGAGCAGCAGCATTTTGGCCATTGTGTTGATTTATGTTCACATTTTGTGGTCATTTCTCTTTGCAGCCTAACTGCAGCGGCAGTGGCAGCGGCAGTGGCAGCGGCAGCGGCGCACCGAACGAAAATGTGACAGCCTTTAGCCAAATCAGCCAACGGAATATGCATCTATATGTGGCATGCATCCACACACACTAACCGTAGATGTGTATAGACTGTTTCTGTTTCGGGGAACGGGAGACTTGCTATTTAAGGCATTTTTTTACCTGCTTCTTTGAGTCGAAATAATCTCAATTGCTAATTGAAGTCGACGCTCGCCGAACAAAAAAACAAAAAGCGAAACTCACCTGCAACGAAAAAAGAGAAAGGAAGGCAAAATATTCAAATATTAATTGGGGGTGTATCAAATATTACATACTAGTATATACAAATATTGACATTCAAACATAGGGGAATCATGGAAAGGTTTCGTGGGTCTCCGAGGGAGGTTATTCTTAGGGAAAACGTTTGAAAACTATTTCATTGAATCTTAATTATAGATTTATGGGAATTTAATTTAGATCGTATTTCATATTTTTCGGTATTTTTGGGTGTTTTAATGTAAAGTGGTATTTAAATACCACACTGTTGGTATATTTTGGTACCAATCCGTTGGTATTTCAGTAGTACAAAGCGGTTGGAAAACAGCAAATCATCGTTGTGTACTTTTATACCATACTTTTAGTATTTAAATACCACACTCTTTGGTACCAATCTGTTGGTATTTCAGTACAAAACTGTTGGAAAACAGCAAATCATCGTTGTGTACTTTTATACCATACTTTAAGTATTTTAATACCACACTGTTGGTATTTTTTTGGTAATACTATTCACTTAGTATTTGAATTCCGCACTTTTGGTATTTTAATACCACCATTTTGATATTTTGATACCACTCCCTTGAATGTTTTGGTATTTTAATCTCTTTTATGGTATTTTACAACACTTTGTCGGTATATTTTGGTATTTTAGTGGTATTTTTGTCGGATTTTTGTTGTTTCCCCAATCTAAATGGGAGGAGAGGGGAAAAATGATAGATTTACCCTTATAAATATTTCTTGAGCCCCCAAAAATGTGTCTTCTTCCGTTTCGTATTCCCTTAAACAGTCAAGCAGACTTTCGGTCACTTTTTCTGGTTGGGGGATAGGATTAGCAATCAGCACCTTTCGCATGACCCCAATAAGGCATCATCTCTTGGTATTTTGGTCTCGCTCCGTTCGCTCTGGAAAAGTCAAAAGTTATGGGTTTCATTAAGCCGCCGTCGCCGACGTCGCTGTATTGCGGCTGTGGCTGTGGCTGTGGTTGTTGTCGTCGGCGTTCGCATTCGCATTCGATAGATAGATAAAGAGTGACCCATACAACACCATGCAACAGGAGGCGAGGCGCAGAGGCATGGACGTAGGTCTAGGACCAGACCCAGACATTAGCACACACCCGCTAATCTAAGCACATAACTTTTTGTGGCAGGAGTGTGTGAAGGCGAACCACAAATGCGGAAGCACTTTCTAAAGATGCAGGCAACTCTGCAAGCGCTGCTGCTGCTGCTGCTGCTGCACTTATCGGGGTGCCCCCAAAAAAGAGAGAGAGACAGAGAGAGAGAAATAGTTAAGGCCTAATCGAAAATGCTCATCGTTCTGAAACGCGGAAAATTCGATTAAAGGCAAAGACCCAGAGACGACCAGCGTGCCAGGGTACAAAAAATGCAATTAGAGGGTGGGTTGTGGGATGCGTTATTAATGTGCGCGGATCTCGTACAGAAACGAGCTGAAAAATATTGATATACATATGTATATACTCTATATAATTGGTTCAGGAATGCGGAAGCGAAAAAGCCAGCGAAAAAATGTGTAAAAAAATTTAATAAAACACAAAAATTCAAGAAAAATGTACGCAAAGATGCGACGAAGTTTGAATACTCTTTTTTGTTGGCTGTGGCAACACTCTAGAGGTACGGGGATGCCAGACTGTGCAGCGTTGCCACCTGGAATATATAATGCTGTTAAATCCCAGGGATAGCTATACCGTTTAGCCTTCTGAATGGCATTTAATCGATTGGAAATTAAATTGTAATCATTTGTGGTACCCAAACCTACTAGTCACTCGATTCGAGTGATTATTCTACTTGAATTGAGTCAGATGGCATTTTATTCGAGAGAACGAGAGTCGGACATCCTGCCTTCTGATCGAGCATGGAATGCTTGTAGCCCCGCAATGGCTAGGGTATTCGAATCGGTAGCCAAGGCACCGGCAAGGAGCTACTTTCGAGGCCAGGCTGCACTCGTATCCAGGCTCTATATTAGATTTCCAAGTGGGAGGTGTTCACGCACACACACACACACAGACACACACACGGCCATGGGGTGGGGGGCATTCACGCACACACACAGCATCCTATGGGTGGGGACTGGGGCCTAACAAGCCTGGCCCCAACGCCGTCTTGGCCGTCTCAGTCTTGTGTTAAATGAAAACGCATTAAAGCTCAGCGAGCGTTTGCAGTGGGCGTGTGCCTATGCTGCCTCAGCTTGAGGGGGGGCGTGCCGGGTTGGTGGGGCAGTGGGGTGGCAACTGCCGCAGCAGCAGCAGCAGGCAGGCAGGCAGGCAGCCGGAGCAGCAGCAGCAGTGGGTGTGCCGCAAATGGCAAACGGTGCTGCCAACTCGTTTGATTTTTCTCCTTCTCTCAAGCGAATGATAAATTTTGTAGATTTCTTTTCGAATCAAAATGGAGAAAGTTGACAGAAAGACAATCAAGAAGATTGATGAGGTGTAATCGATTTATCGATCTTATTCATAAGCCGATAAATAACCGTCTAATAACAATAATCGATTATTTTATCGATACAATTTGAATTTTCTTAATTTTGTTATGAAAATATGTCTTAGTCGTTTCGATATCGCTTCAACGATAACTAATCGATGACTCTAGATAGATGGAATAATTTTCAATATATCGACAATATCGACAATACAAATTCTATAGCAGAAATGTATTCCACTTTATACTTTGAGAAATCGATTTTATTTGATTTATTTCGATAACAATTGAAGCATCTTTCGATAGGTAAAACGATGAACAATCAATTAAATTTCGTGCTTTTAGTCTGGAGTTTCAATCGAGTTGGCAGCCCAAATGCAGAGCCTCATGCTCTGATTGTCAATTTGCGTCCGTCGATGACGATGACGAGATGATGGCGACGGCTTTATCGTTTATTGTCAATCTCTCTTTCCTTCTCCAGGGGCCAGAGCCCGTCCTAGTCGCCGTCGTGGTCGTTGTCTAATTAGAAAAGCACGTGAGCACGCACAGCTGCGTAGTTGTCATAATTAGAGAGTATAAGCCTCAAGATCCCAAGAGATCTTGGCCCGAGATCTCTCAGAAAGAAGGCAGAAGGAAACACTCTATTCATATTGGTGTTCAATATTACCGAGACAAAGATCGCAGAATGTGAATGAGACTGAGACTGAGACTGAGAATGAGGCTGCGGCTGCGGTTGAGAATGAACTGGGCGACAATTTGCTAGATTGATTGAGGCGTCGTCCCCCCCCAGCCCAGGCCCAGGCCCAGGCACCGGCACTGCCACTGGGACTGGGCACTGGCTCCAAAGAACGTTAAAGTGAACCGGTTCGGGCAATTAATGTCTTAAATGCGCCTGCCTGGTGTGGCATTGTTAATTAATAACACGATGAGGCGCTCTCATGGAGAACGTTCCCCCTTTGGGTCCACGACGACGACTAATTGTTAATGCAAAAATCGTTGCAAGTTAGAAAATCAATTTTTACTTTAATGATCTGACAGGTAAGTGCATATTAAAGTTGGACCATCTCTCCGCACAGATCTCTTGGCGGAGACCAGCCTTCTTTTGGTTAAGTGTTAAGTGGAGAAGAAGCCAAAGCTGAAGGAGATGGAGAATAAGGATATTTCAAGGAACACAGCAAGATCTGCGGAACTGAAAAAGTGGAAGTATTTCGTAGGATATTTAGCGCTGAAATCAATGTTCATAAAGGTCGTAGTGCCTTCTGTAAAATAGGTCCTCCCTTTTGCTCCAGTGAGACTCGCACTCTCTCCCTTCTCGCTTCTTCTGCCACATCTTTGGGTTCCTTGGGCCACGCCCTCGAAAAAGTAGCAGTCACCAAGGGGCACAAGGGGCACAAGGGGCAGTCAGTGTTTCAAAGTCACAGAAACAGAAACAAAGAATTCCAAAAGAAACCGCCCAAAAAAACAAAGGAAAAAAAAAACAAAGACGGAAAGATACAAAGTGCAACCGCAGGCCCCAAAAGCAAATAGTGTGTGGAGTGGGCGTGGCCGAAAAATCGGACGAAGCCACAGTTGTTGCAAGTTGCTGTTGCTGTGTGTGGCGGCGCCTGGCAAATGCACAAGGCCAAAAGACTATAATTAAGCCATGCCCCCAGAGGGGTCCAAGCACACAGACCTGCCGCAACATGTGGCCAAAACGGGAGAGGGGATGGGGGGTAGGGGGTCGGCCGCCAAGCGACAACTTCCTTCTAACCTACAAAAAGCGAAAAAATCAACTTTTAAATAAACTTTTATGCAAAATACTAAACAATATCCGTTGTGCGTTGTCAACGAATGACATGAAATTGGCAAACGTGGAGCAGGAGCAGCAGCGGAGGAGCACATTTCCGTTTCAAGCAATTTCCGCGAGAGGTCTCTCCCCCTGCCCCTACCCCTACCCCTCTCTCTCTCTCTCTCTCTCTGGCCAGGTCTCTCGAGTGCTATTTGATTGGTAAGCAATTTACGCAGTCGACAGGCAACGTGCCACAGCCACAGCCACAGCGACTGTCGAAAGTAACATTCAGCAACAGCATCGGAGAGACAAGAGAAACCCAGCGAAAAAAAACCCCAGAAATGGCTTAGGCTAGAACAAAAAAAAATGTAGTTGCAACATCTCTCGACCCTGACCCGCAGCAACATGTTGTGTTGCATGTTGCCTGCCCCCGCCCCCGCCCCTGTAATACTCTCATGAAGTAAGTACCACAACAAAAAGGAAAGCTTTGCGTCAATTTGAACGCATGTATCCTTTCGCTTAGGGGAACATTTTGGAAGCCTTTGGAATATGGTTTCGGTTCTTGAGAATTGAATGTTATTTTCAATGTTTGCTGGTGATTGCAACCGCTGTTAAGATACATGCCACAGATGTATCTTGTATCTGACATCTTGCATCTTGTAGAGCATCCTTGAATCGTTGCAGCTCTGGACGGGGCAGTGGCAGAGCCATCGCTCTTGATCGTTTGCATCTTTCTTGTTTGATCTTGTACGCATCAAAATGTTGATGCCCCATGATGGGGCAGGCAG